CTCTACTGAATTTCTAATTTATTTAATATTACGGAGAATGATTCAACACACAATTGACTTGCTGTACGGTAATAATATAAAACAAGAAAAAGTAATAGGCCAAACAGAAATATCTCAAAAGTAGAACTCCAGTCAAACAGCTAAATACCACAAACAAAAAAAAGAAGGTAAAAAACCTTTGTTTTTGCCACATTGCACATGTTTCATATATTACAACATTTCGATGAGTGCTAATATATTTAGGTTTTTTGGAGAAAGGTTAAATGTGCTTTTAACTTGTTATAAAAGAATTTGAATGCTTTCAAATACCATGAAAATGGAAAAAAGGCAAACAAATGCAAAACGCTAATTTACTATTTTATAATTTCTGTGATTAAGTTGTGGTAATTATTACTGGGCCAATCCCATCCCTGATCAAGAGTCCAATATGATACTACTCTAAAAATTGCTTTCAACCATCTGAAGGGCCCCGTATCACTAATTTATTGGGAAAACTGTTGATTTGGCTATTCATTCATATTGTCATTGAAAAGGCAAGAAGGGGTTTACTTTGTATGTGTTATGAGTCCCATGCATTCCACTAATACAGATGACAGGCCATATAGCATATTTAATTTAATCAGCACTCCTGAGTATTTATGGCTTTAGAATTTCTTTAAAGACTTGTCCAAATAAGTAGCACCCTAGCAGAGATCATGTGGCCAATGTTTAGGGTTCTAATTTATGTGAACATTACTAGACTGAGCCTGTTAAATTTTCCCCAGGAAAAGTATTTCAGCCCTTCTCTTACTCTTAGGCATCATTCACGCTTTGTATTTCGGGATTCCTGCAGAAGGTATCCCAAATCTCTCATTTAGATGTGGCTACTATCACCCATTTAAGTGACCAGGTGATAGCTGCTGCATCTGTAAGCATCAGTCTGCATGTAATCGTATGTGATATGATTACATATAGTTTAAATACACATCTATCTTGCATTCAGAAATAGTCATCTATTCCAAACCGCATGTAATCGTATCACATACAACTTGCGTCTTATCACAATCAACATTTATTAGAGGGGTGAGTTACTCTTCATATAGACCAAAACCTATTTTACATAGACTGGGACAAAAGACACATACTGGCTGATGATTACAGACACAGACTCAGATGGCTAGACACATGCCCACCTCAGAAGGCTCCACATACCTTCAGGCAACTGGCCATCAGGAAGTGGAGTATTGACTGAGGATAATGGAGCTACAGCTCCAATAGGGTACATTGGGTAATATCTTACAGGCTGCATAAGTGCACATTATCATGTCACAACATATATTAAGTGCAAACCTTACCATTCTCCACGTATTTGTCCTGCTCAAAAGCGTCTACGTTGTCAACAGAATTCATATGTATAGCAGAAGGTGGCTTTGCTCCTATTTGGGGCTAGACATGATAGATAGGTTAACTTTTACTCCCCTCAAATGTAAGTCAAAAATATTTATCCAATATACCTACCAGAGGTAAGCTAAGGGGATAGAAATTATTCCGTACAGGTAGATCAGGAGGCAGGGATCCCAATGTACCATCTGTCTGAACATAAGATGATAACATATTATGTACTATGGATTACTGCAATGACATTCACACCCCATGGACAGTCACATTAGAGAACATTCCAGTCTCATAAGTTCATAAAACAGTATATAGTAAAACAGAATTATGCTTTATCAAAGAGTCTTAAATGAAAGGGTCATCCCTCTGATAACAGTTTTGGCCAATTTTGGAAAATTAAGATATGGAGTATGAAACAGAAGAGATGGAACCACCTGGAACATTCAGTGTGGAGCAGGAAGAGAGTCCAACTTGCTGGGAACTATAGCAAGAAAATCATGGTATTCCCTAGTGATATCACAAATAAGTGGGTGATTAAAGCCACGAGACATCAGCTAGCTGTAATATCACTTTGGCCGGACAGACCCTTTGATTCCAGTTTAAGAACTGTGCTAGTACTGTCACAGGTAATACAATTGGTTGAACTCAACTATATATTTATGTATTTAAATGCTGTATACATTTAATTCTCATTCCCAATGACTGCTCCTGATACTCTGGAGTCGCATACACCTTGATCTGGTCTGCAGGCAGATCCATTAATATGAGCCTACCTGAGGGTGGTCAGATCTGGTCTCCAGTCTACATTTTAACCTCTGTGAATTATGGATATCCTAAGTCACAGAGTCTGATAAACATCACACAAAACTTCTGTCCGTGGTTCAAAGCTTGGGAATCGGTGGGTGATGAGAGCAGTAGTAAAAAATAAGAAGACCTCCAGTTGTTAGAAATACAATTTTTATCTCTGACAGTGCCTGCTATAGGCATTTAACACAGCCACAGATTGGTGAGCAGAAAAAAACAAAAGGATAACAGGAGAACGTCTAAGATCGAAGATGTGAATAGAAACATGTTACTAGATTCCCACAGCCTATAAACCTCTGTAATGCATTGGATGTTTATATAATTTTACAAATAAGATTTGGATTTATAACTGAAAGTCTTCTGATTAGAACTATGGTACTCCTCACCCACCAATACCCAATGTACATTTGAAAAAAAGCAAGTACCCCTGACAGTCTCTTGAGTAGTCAAATGAGATTCCTCCCACCCAATATTCTCTACATTCAAAACATCTCCAAAACAAAATCAAACCCAAGCAAACACCATCCCTGGTTCTCAACTTTGGTGCCATCCCACACCCTCATACAGAGCAAAACAGGACTGCATAAATCTTCAATTAAACTATAAATCCTCCTTTTTTTAATTTTGGGTTGACAGACCCCAAGAAAAAGGGTATACATAAATGCAGTACATACCATATAACTGACAGACACTTTATGAAGGTTCATTGCCTGGCGATGGAGAGTTTGTCTCAGAAACATCTCATCTTTGATAGCGTGAAAGCTGAACGATAACAAAGACATTAACATGCACTGCTCCAGAAACAATTAGCAAATGTCATGTTAAGAGAAACAGTCACTGCGTCCATCAAGTAACAAACTCCATGAGTAAGTCAAATAATCTAAAATAAAAAGGATCGCCAGATAACACTAAAAATAAATGAATCCCATGGATTTATGTTTCTTCCACCTCCTGCTGTTTCTTGAATTTTTCCCCACCAGGTATCAGATCACCAGTCATCGGGTGGCGGGCGACAGCTCTGATATTAGGAAGCAAAGCCCAACCTTCACCAAGATGGCTGCCTCCAAACAGAGACACAGTGCAAAACAAGGCGTGGTAAGTCAGTCCTGGAAAAAAGATCAGCTGCAAGGAGACCACAGGCAATACTGGTCCCCATTCCTTTGCCTTCTGCTTGCCTTTTCTGGGCACAGCTTCAGGTCCTCTTTAAGATGGTCTACAGTTCCTTACAGCAGCCTGGAAAATGCCAAATAAATCTGTCAGCAGTAAGGTTCAGGTTGGTTGGTCGCTCCGCCCATCTGTTGACATTTGGGCTGAATGTCATTTTACGGCGAGTTTTTGTCGGGTTCGGGTGGTCGTCGTGCGGCGGGACTTTTTTTATTTTGGCGGGGGTCGTGCATCGTGATTGACGCTGAAATGCGTGCAGTGTCATTGAGTCTTTGTTTTTTGTTTTTCTAAGGGAGGGGGAGCTTGATCGCCCCCCCCCCTTTCCTGCCCTGCCAGTGCTCGGATCAAGGGTCTGCTAGGACTGTTAGGGGGGCCCCACGTTTCCCCCCCATTTTTGGGGGCTGGGGTTCCCCCTTAAAATTCGTACCAGACCTAAAGGGTCGGGTATGAATTGGGGGGAACCTCACGCTTTTTTTTTCATCTTTTTTTCTGTAAAAAAAAATTTAAAAAAAGTTTTCTTATGTCACTTTGCTGCTAACGAAATTTCGTCCAATAAACGAAATTTCGACCGGACTACCGCCAACGAATTTCGTCCGAATCCCGCAACTAATTCAATTGCGGACCCGAATCCGAAAAACAAAATATGCAAAATCCGAATCAAAACGAAACGAAACTAAACACATTTTTTGCTGGTGCACATGTCTATTAGACTCACATATTTCCCAGTAACCTAAAGTATCTTATATAAAAGATACATGAATTCTTAACTGTGGTGAGTCAAAACAAATGTGGTTAGTCAAACATAATATTGTCCGACCACCACTTTTGGCTATAAGTGGCCTAACTCTAGAGATATGAAAGTGGCATTACAGTGGAGATCAAATGTTAAATATCTCCTCTCTCTAAATTAGTTGCTGTTTTTTTATAACCTGATTTTGTTACTTTTTCGCTTTTTAGAGGTTGAGCAGTGACAACACAAAAAGAACATAGAAATAACCGAAATAAGAGAGTAAACACATGTATTTCCGAAGCAGCATCCTTGAGTTGACACAACCGAACAATGTTTAATAAAGTCAAAGATAGTGAAAGGGAAAATATGACTCAAAGCGCAAACAGGCAAATCGCAGTCTATGAAACGAGAGGCAGATAAAGGAACACATACACCCTCTGGCTTATCACACAGCAGCCACAAATCATAAAACTGTCTCTACTTATCTTCCTTCTCTCTTACTAGCTGGGGCCATACCATAAGGATGCAATTGTAGTTAATGAGAAGTTGCATCAGGCCCAAGTGTAATAATGAGTCAGTCACTTCTAATCTGAAAAAGGTCTGGGTGAGATACCATTCAATAATAAAAACGGGGCCTCACATTCAGCCTATTCATCCTTGAAGCAAACAAGTGGTTGTAGCATTTACAACCGTCACCTGTAGGCCCCTCTAGATGGCGGTACGTAGGATCTAATTCTCTGTGGGGCACCCTGGAAAAACCTTGATGTTCTGATATGCAACCAGCTTTTTTCTCAGAAGTTCTGCCTCCCCATTTCTGTACTTTACCATTGAGGCTACCAATTATAGTGCCAGGCTGAAGGGTGCTGGATGTGGGAGGGGGTGGGCCGAACCTTACGTGTCTATATTTTGCATACAGTTTTCTTTAATTAAGTTATCATGTTGGCTAAAGACCGACACAGATCTATTCATTAGACCTGCACCGGACCTGCAACTTATTTTGGATCCATTTTCATGGTTGGTAAAATTATTCTACGCAGCCCTCATATCAGCAACCGGCATAATTTATAAGCTATGACTCTTGTAAAAGTAACAGTAGTTAGTAGTACTGTAATGCTGGACTAAAATACAAGGGAGAGAAATTATCAAAACTGGAGCAGCCAAAATCTGGAGCAGCTGTGCATGGCAACCAATCAGCTTCTCTCTTTCATTTTCAAATCTTGTTTGAACAGACTGAACAGAGAAGCTGATTGGTTGCCATGCAGAGCTGCTCCAGATGTTGTTTGCTCCAGTTTTGATAAATTCCCCCCAAGGTGTTTTGCTTGTAGGTATCAGTCGTTTATCTGTAAAGAGATATCCATATTTTATATTCGGCTATAGGATACCTCACTGCATCCTTAATGTTGCACCATTCTTCTACTTGATAGGGCTGTTCTCTTTGTCACATGAGTCTGCCCTTTGTAATGTCTGTTTTTCTCTGAATCTTAGACACATACCAGGGGACCTACCTGATCTGCATTTTTACATAGGTTACTGACAAGAGGTTTTTAACTATTGGGGTAATTTGCTGCACTACATTATGCTTAGATACAAAACAGACCACTGAGTAAGTAGACTTTTTTGTGGACATTCAAAGCTCATATTTTTGCCACTGTGCCTATATCTTCAAAAATACCTTTCTGTTTAAAGTTATAATCATATTTGTGTATGCAAGCAGCCTTAATAGTTTGATAAATATACAGTGGGGGGAATTGATCAAAACTGGAGCAGACAAAATCTGGAGCAGTGGTCTGTGGCAACCAATCAGCTTCTCTCTTCAGTCTGTTCAGTTAAGATTTGAAAATTAAAGGTTGAAGCTGATTGGTTGCCCTGCACAGCTTCTCCAGATTTTGTCTGCTCCAGTTTTGATAAATTCCCCTCGCTGTGTTTCCATGCTAACAGTATAAATGAATGAATCTCCTGCTGTGTACATTGTATTCTGATCATGGCTGATTGGCTGCTAGCACTGTTCGGCTGAAGATTTTCTAGAATGTCCCTTTGACAACAGTCAATCTAATGAACGACTTTTGTCAAGGGGATAGGACCGCCCATGGAGCTAATTTCGGCCAATTCCTGCTGAATTGGGTGAAATTTTATGTGTGCTTACACAGTTAAAATTAAAATGGCAGACTGCTTCACTTTCAAAAGACCCCGCTAGGTCTATTAACAAATTCAAATGGCAGTTCCCTGTAATAGAAGGTTAAAAGGTTATACTCACCTGCAGACCAGCCCGTATCTCATATTCCCCCCTTCGTTCCAGTGCAGAAGCCTCCATCAGTCTCTTTGGCAATCGAAACTTTCAGGAATGTCAGATGACTGTGTTCCCCACGTTGCGTTGTGGTTCCTGCCTGTTGCTGCTACGCCACTGCTGAGTTCTGTAGTGACATAGGTATCAGAGGAAGGAGCCACAGCGCGCTCCATGCCGGCAGGCAACCTGTGACGCTCTGTCCAGCGTCCCGTCCAGCAAATTGATGTCACTCTTTGCCAGGAGCTGAGCAGGATGCTCTAGCTGGCGTCCTGCCCAGCTCTTGGCAACTCTTTCATTTTCAACATAAAGATAAGAAACAGCAAAGAAAGCATTTCACACTTCCAGGTAAGTACTAGATGCAAAGTTGGAACAAGACAATTAAAGTTTGTTTCCAAATGAAGTAAAAAAAATAATGAAGCCTTGACCAAAGCAGAATGTAATCTCATACCTTTGTTTGAGAATTTCAAACTTCTTCTCCCATGTTTTATTGAGTCTGTCAAGCTCCCTCTGTAACCTAAAACGCATAGTGAGTGACATATCATAATTGTGAAGGTACCAGGACATGTTCTCTAACAGTACACTGATCATACCGGTCTATGGTCTTCAGATCTTCTTCTCTTACAGATAAAAGTTTTTTAATCTGGGCTTGAAGGTTTTCCTTATCTGCATTCATATTCTGTAATAAACATTGAACTCAGATAAATAACACATGTAAAACATTCTAAGGAAAAATTACAATACAATGCTAAGCAGGTTCTCCTGAGAACGTTTAAAAGGCCAACTTAAAAGGAGAACTATGAGGTGAGTGCTTTTCACTCACCTCATAGTTCTAGCCGACCTGTGACAATGAGACTGTCACAGGTCGGCTCAGTAGATCGGGAGGTGAGCGAACACATACCGGGTTCGCTCGCCTCTCGATCCTGTCACGGCTCTCGGCTGGATTCCCCTCTCCCCGCTCCGATCTGCCCGCGCTGACTGGCGGAACGGACGGGGGAGGGGGCGGGTACAGCTGGCTCTGCCTCTAGATAGGCAGAGCCAGCTGTCACTCACGCAGCTGGGCGGATCCCGTCATCTATGCCGGGATCCGCTGCGGCGTCTCAGTATACCACGAGCTGTAGCTCGCGGTATACTGAGCTTAGGGTAACGGGAGGACGCTAGTTTGTGTCCTCCCGTTACCCTAAGGAGAACTATGGGGAAAATACTGACCCCATAGTTCTCCTTTAACTTTTTAAAAGAAACTACGAACACTAGTCCACCCGCCAAGTTTTAGTTAGGGGGCCAGAAAGGGGGGACTAGTTCAGTTTTTAATTAATTAAGCTTTTTAATTAATTCAGTTAATTTTTAATTAAGAGAAGTGTTCTCTAACAAAAGTGAAGTGTCTTTACCTATTTGCAGCCTTTAGAATATTCACCTCTATGATGGAGCTAAAGGCCGTGTGAATTCTGAGCCCTGTTCTGAAAGTAGCCGTGATAAGAGAGGTGGTTGAAAGGTAAGGTATTGCCATGGATACCTAGGTACCTAGTCTTGTATTTATGGCAGCACTTCACTCAATAACAGTTTGGCTTATTTCAGATAAGGTTCCTTCACACAGCCCTCAGCTTTCCTGTGTTTCTTGAGCTTGACCCTTCAGTATTAAACTTCCAGCATTGCAGCCTCCATCAGTCTCTTGAAACACTTTCTGTGCCTTATGCCTGCGTCTTCTGCCATGTTCCATGGTTCCTTTCTTTGACCCCCAATTTCACTACTAAGTTCTGTATTGACATAGGGGTAGAAGGAAGGAAGCACTCCTGAAAGTGTTAAATGCAAAAAGGGACTGACAGAGGTTGCAGAGCTGGAACGGAGGGGTGGTAGAAGATTAGGGCCTCTGCATAAGTGAGTATACTACCTCTTCTATTGCAAGGGAGTATTCAAGGAGTAAATAAAGGTCCTGTCTCCATTTACCTCTATGTCCAACTTTGCTGTACTGGCTTTCTCATTTATCCTCTTCAGCTTCTCAGCTTTCTCCTTCAATGTTTTAACCTGCTCTGCTTCCAATATGAGCTGTTCTTTCTGTCTCTGAAGCTCTCCATGCAGCATTTCTTCTTGTTCTTGCTGTATTCGGGCTTTCTATAAAAATAAGGAAAAATACCTTAATTTTCTTTTGATTTACATTGACAAATAAAACAATATTGTAAGCCCTCAAAGAAAGTCAGCACTGACACAAAAATATACTATCTAGCAAAAGCAAATTAATTGGGATACACATATAGGAAACTACAAACAGAAAATACCCCACAATATATATATATATATA